ATCAAAATCATGGACGCGACAAGTATAACAATCAACAGTGGGTCTACCATAGAGCAATCGTCTGCTTGAGTGCTCGAGGTGGTTTCTTTAAAACCGCTGTAATTGTCCTTGGGATTGTTCTGGAAATTTGCGCCCACTGAGATATACCAGCGCATGAAAAATTCCCCGCCCATGTGGTCACAGGCAAATACACTCGAAGACCGATCTAGGTGTGCTGTCGAGGGCGGAACCAAATAAGGGACATAACCAGCCGGATATGCTCAGCTCGTCGTAGAAACTCTCAATCTAATTCAGTGTACAGAATGCTGGTCTGTATGCCTCACGCGGTTTGTGTTTTCTCAAACTTTGCATTATAAATTACCCGTAAATAAGAAAACAGTTTATTCACACAGCTGGCGAAATGCAACCAGCCCGCTGGTATTGGGATAAGTGAACGAAGTGTGGTATGGTATCCTTTGTGAATGCCACTCAGTCACTGCTGGTCATCTAACTGCGAACGTGGGCTAGGCCGGTCGGGATCCATTCGAACGGTTAAGCTTGATTTCATCAAGGAATATTCCCAGACGAAGGTTAAATTGGTTTGTTTTTCTGATGCTGTGTTTTCCAATTACCCGATATTTACCACCCACTAAACAAGGATCGACATTACGTGAAGGAAAAACACAAAAAATGGTACTCCAAAGTAAATGGGTTTTCAAGCTTTGTTTTTGTATGTTCGGATTACGCCATAGATGTCTAGGTGGCAAGAACTAAGGATGCGTCACTCATACACACGCCATTCCGGATCGGAAATCGCCCTTATTTTAAGCGCTTTTGTTCTGTTAACCAGGAACAGGATAGATTCTTTCGGTGGAACTCCAACAAAATAGTACGGAAGAATGGTGAATAGGAAGCGGAAAACTGGATACTCATAAAAGAATTTTCACCACACTACTGTTCGAAGGGGACCAGGATGGTAGAGTTCTAGCGGTGATTAAATCGGACTGTTACGGGAACATCTGATACTATAACTATATTGCTAATCAAAAAAGCAGGATGTGTGCTTATATAAACCACTCTAGGCGAACAAACTGTTTGGTTGCTTCCTGTGCATAGCTGTCTTAATGTTTCTGTCTACTTCTTTATTAATAGGAAGGCATTCTTTCACAATAGAATAGTTTTGCGGGGCCCATGCAAACGTGGTCACTTGCAAGCCTCACAAACCAACTTACGTTTGTCTCCACAGTCATATTCTACCTTCTGGTTGTTTCTGTTAGTAGTTCGGAAACATCCAACAGTAGGTGAAAAAGGCACATTCTATGGTGGTGCTTGTACTCTGTACCAATGTACTTGAGATGACCTGTTTGCTTGTTATTCACAAACTCAATTATATATTATGCATGTACAAAGCAACTAGGCACAGCTTTCTTCACGCCCTTGAAAGATAAACACGTAGACAAAAGAAATTTAGCGAACTAGTTGTGACTCTCCACGATTTTGAGTGAAGTGATCTATCTTTCTGTTGAGTTGGACTTGGAACCTTAAATCCACCGGTGGTCTCATTATGCAGCCAAAGAACGCTTGTTTGGAGAGCACTGGTTTGGGATTACCGCGCTCGCCGCTGAGCAATAGGTGCACAACGGGTGGGAAATTGGTTTTGGGCTGTCCCTTAATATCTGCACCTTCCGATATATATATATATATATATATATATCCAAGATCACGGGGTGAACGAAGCTGACCAGGAGTTCAGTTAACATTGAACGGATATTTTTTTCACGGATACATCCTAAATTGAGGTCAGTATCGTATGCACACTCATGCTTCAGAACTTGTTTCTGCGTATATGCACACACTACATGTTGATTAGTCCTTCCTCTGTGTTAGTTACAACTCTATTTGATATTCTCTTTTGATGATGATCATTGATGCTCCAGTTACCTGACAATGCTACGATCCACCACCAGCTCTAAGGTTGTTTATGCTCTTTAAAGCGAGGAAATTTTCGCTGGATGGGCAATTAAAATGCTGATGGGTTTGAGAACTGTAAATAATCCGTTGCATTCCTTCTAATTCCTGAAGTAGCAGAAGGCTGAGGGAGCATATCTTTTGTAAAATTGGCAAATAAGATGGCATGATATTCTTCCACATGCATATCTACTTTTCAGATGCGTTTCAACGGACATTCGGACGGAGTATCCACTTGGGACGTGTTGTCTGATACGCTGCGTTATCACTATCCCACACACTGTATGTAATGTTAAAATAACGCACAGGCTTGTGCGACATCTGACAGGCTCTTAAGTTAGCAATTAATTCTAATCTCAACAGCGCCATGTAACTCGAATCTTCATGTCTAATGCTTAATGAATTATTCTCAACTGTGGTCTAAAAAAGCATTTCGGTAGGCACTACAGAGTAAAATCGAATCTTTGGCTATAACAAAAGCATATAAATCCAGACACTCTCAAGTGTCCCAAGCACACACGTAGAACTGGAAAAAGTGAATTCCTAAATTCTGAGACGAGAGTCGTTACAGATACGCTCTCCGGAAATAACATGACGTACTTAGGAAAAAAACGAACCATTGTTGGCCTGCATTCGTTTAGGCTTATCTTCAGATTGTGATATCTGTGTTAACTCTGTGTTATCAGAGTGAACGAGCTAGTCAGCAGTGAACGTATTTATAACGTGTTCAGTGTGTATTATCTGAGGTAAATTGTGCTGGAAAATCTGGATTCAGGTTGGACTTTTAACGAATGATTAAGATTCCTCAAGAAGACGACCACTAGTATTTGGCCATTTCAACTTGTGCATGCACGGTTGGGACGGCTGTTCAGAATGCAATGGCATGGTTCCCCATAAATCTATGAACAGCAAGGTTTACATTACACGCGAAACCCCTAAATGACAGAAGTACAGCCTTGCTTCATTCTCTCAGCATAATTATGTTGTACGTTGGAGTTGGTTATTGCATACGAGATCATGTTTCGGGTAGTGTGCAGATCTGTGGTCGAAATTATCCGGACTGGATGGAATCGATGTCTTACGCTTGAGGAACACAAGTGGCCAAGTTTGTAATAAGTTATTTTTGAGCAGTTTGTCGGCGATACATTCAAATGTTACTCCTGTGCATAATGAACAAGTGGAAAACAATAGCTCGTCTATGTGATCGACTGCCTTGCCAAATAAGAGACACAGGGAGTCGCGTCTGATTCCTGAAAAAAAACATGAAAATGTGGGGGGGGAGGAGTGATAAGTGGTGCAAAAGGCCTTTAATATGCCTCTCAGTCGGTTAGTTGTAAATTCTGTGATACGCAACGCTTAAGAAGGGGGGGGGGGGGAGGAGTGATAAGTGGTGCAAAAGGCCTTTAATATGCCTCTCAGTCGGTTAGTTGTAAATTCTGTGATACGCAACGCTTGCTTGAAATAAATGGCGTATCCTCCGTAAATTGTTACGTCGTTAAGTAGGCGATTTTTTGAAACGGATCCAGTTGAAAAAGAACATCGCGAACAAAGGATTTTTTCATTCAGGAACATGCTATATGTAAATTATTTCTCAAAACATTCCCATGAACTGAATGAGTAGCGCGTTTATTGAAAGATACATTAATCTAGAGTTGTATGCATGATTATCATTGCAAGCAAATTCTACAGGTTTTCAACTCCTCCCCCTCTTCTTCCTGATCATCGTCATCGTCATTGTAATAATAATGATAGTCATTATCATCGTTATCAGTGCTAATTACAACGCCAGGTAGAGAGTTTGTGACATTCATAAAATCCCTCGTTCTATACTGCGATGTCATATTCTGTCTACCTCGAGTCTTCTACCACTCTTGATTTGAAACGAAGGCAAAGCTCACCTCGTTGGTCGGTTACTACGCGAATGTGCCACATGGTCCTGCCAATTTTGTAAGCGGTCCTCGTTACATTTCTTGTGGAAAGCATCATCTTCAACAGACACCCGTTTCCGGGTTACCTCATCGCGAATTCAATTACTGCAATCAATTCCAGTCAGGTTTTTGAAACCGGTGGTCGAAGATCTGAAGATATCCTCTGCGAGGAGTGACGAAAATTTCGCTGCCCAACGAGAATGGATTCTTGATTCTAATCCAATTTATGCGTTCTTTCAGACCTGGTGATATGTCCTTTCGGTGCCAGGAGCAATGCTGGCATTGGGGATTTGTGTTTTGTTTCGTCTGTCCAAATGTTGTGTGGGCTAGTGGAACTCCCGAGATTCCCATAAGTTTCCACAACTTCTCTTGCCACTTGAATGGTCAGGGACGCTTTTGCACTTTGTAGACGCAAACAAACACTTAGATGCGTGCGCATTGGTCGTTTGTGTTTTAGTAACCGGAGGATCGGAGGAATAGAGAGCAAGGCAATGGGAGGAATACAACATTGAAAGTGGAATCCTATTGATGGCTGTTTCATTCAAGCAGGTTCAACACATCGTTCAAGAGAAATAAGGTTTCCGTATAGGGATGGCATTTGATGACTGCCAAAGAAGTTTGATCGTTGCAACCCCATTTAGTTTTACAGAAGAAAATAAAATTAACTAAATAGACAAAACATAATGGTGATACGTTTTTGCTAGCGCACTGTACGTTGCTCCCAAAAGCTCAGTGTAATAATTTAAATAGTTTAGTTTCGCAAAGGGGATTCTGGTGGAGTTTCAACTCAACAGCGTGATAGAAAACTTTGTCAAACCTCTGACTAGCAGTTTGTATTTTTGCCGACGTTTAATTCCAGCAGATCATCCTAATCAATTCATATACTCACAGTAGATGAAATGACCTATCAAATCAATGGCTGTAGATTCATTCACGCGATGATTTCCTGGGATTTGATTGTTCATATCTATGGGAACTGCTTTCATTCAGTCATGTTACTAGTAAACCTCGAAAAACTGGGCATTCAAATTTTCAGGCATGCTTTTTGAATTAAGTGATAAAAGGTGCATACTTTATGATGCATCCTACATTCTAGCCTAATCGGTTCTCATCAACATGTTTTAGACTATTTGAAGAACATTCGGACTTCCGTGATGCATTTGCTCGGTTTCGTCAAAAGCAACTGTCAATTCTCACACGCGATCCGGCTTTTCAGGCGCATGGTTTGCGAGTACTAAACGTTGTCGACAAAATCATCTCCAGGTTGCGCAGAATCGACACCATCCAGGACTTTCTTCTCTCACTGGGATCAAAGCACTGTCGTTACGTTCCAAACATTGAACTGGTGCCGGTGAGTTGTGCCTGATGCATCATTTAGTTCTTGCCTTTTTACCTTTGACTATGTGCGGGAATGGATATAACAGTAACACTCTCCAAAATTTGACCATCCGGGGTGTGTGCAATTAATGCGTTCGTCTATTCTCTTGGTACTGAATACGGTGGACATTCGTCCATTGAAGACTCCGTAGAATATCATCCCAAAGTTTGCGTTGTCCATTTTCGCTGTCTTCACATCACGGATAGAAAACGGATCCACATAAGAAATCCTGAAACAAGGCTGATTGGATAAACAACCTTCAGACTCAGAGAAAAGCTAGCAGCGGTAAACTTTGAAGTTTGGTGAGCAATTTCGGGGATGTGCACAACTGAGCAGGTCAAAAGAAATGGGTTTTCCGTGAGATAGTTTTCGGTGTCCCAGTTTCTCGTTGAAGGATGCACAAATTCAGTGCATATGTCGGTTTTATCTTCACACTGTATATATATATATATATATATATATGCACAAAATTTCCAGTTTTCCTACCCCCCAGTCAGAATAGGGTTATTGCAAGAGTTACAAGTATATAGTCTCACTTCCTAAGTTACAGAGCTCTATTTGAGGTCGTCCGCATAACAGAACTCATTAAGATGATGATTGAGGACCGGGCCTTCTGTGGGTGAGATGATAAGAATGCCACGTTTAACAACGTTCTGTCTGCCTTCTTCTCCTTGAACTTATCGTGTCAAAAATAAGCTGATGTTTCTATCCACTCAGAGAATTCGACAAAAAATAAGCGGCCTCGGAAGGAACTATGAGGCTCGCAAATTCTAAGAGAGACAAAACGTATGATCATTTCAGCCGGTCTGATGCAAAATAATTCCAATTAATATGGTGGTCTGTTCGTCGCGCTGGAGTCAAACACATAGCCCGCTTTAATCCTAAGGAATGATGGTTGCAAATAAGGATCTGTATATCTCTTTCAAACAGTCCCCTAACGTTTCGATAATCTTCGACTAGAGTTAAGTGCGGTAATCCCGGTTTTCCGTCCCATAGGTTCTAATTAACAATGCATGCCTTTGAGTGCGTCCAAATTCCAAGGTCAACAAAAAGCATGGTAGCGTTCGGAATAGAACTCCAGGAATTTTGGCTGCAAAAGTTGAAAGATTCAGGCAAATTGCAAAACAGTTTATCTTAACAAATACCTCTTTAATGCTGGTATATAGACGGAGTGACATGGTCTTGATTAATGCGGATAAGTAATTGAAGGGTTTGCGAAATTCGTGAAGTCCGCATTCACGTAACTCTCGTTTGCAAAGCTCTCCTCCTTACCTGAAGCCCTTAGTTTGATGAATTCATACCAAAGAGAGGATGCGCTAGACTACAGCTTTTTTCTCATATCGGCGCTAATCAGCATGACGTATCTTTGGCCTTGCTGTAGTTTGAATTCCGGACGTCAGATGTGCGAGGAGATGTGATTGTGGTCATACCTTAACGATAAATTGAACGACGTCCGATTAACTAAGCTATTTGCTTTGGTCATATGAATCAACTCTCCGGACCTCAAAGCCAGAAGAGGCACAGAATTGGAATTCTACGTGACATCCTCCAAGTCTTCAGAATATTAAATGATTGTCCCCTATCTGGTGACCTCATCCAGAGAGGTGTTTTTGAGTTAAATGTATCTTTCGCTTCTGATCGACTCGGTTTCAAACCGAGTTTGACATTCACTGTATGAAAAAGTATAATTTGAAATTTTTCCGGCTCTCTTTAATCATCGGATAAACAACAAATCAAACAGCGTATACACTCATTTGCAAACCAATTTGGTTTTTCGACAGACTCACCTGGAACCCTCTTGGATCTCTCGGTTTCGATGTTTCCAGGCAACTGGATGTGCTGCACAAGGCCACCTCATGTTTCAGTAGCTATGATAATCGGGAAATCGCGACACATATATTTTTGTAGGCTGTCGATGAGTTTTCAGCAACCTTATGAGCAGTGCATTAGAAAAACAAATCAAACAATTTGTAATCTGCCATTCGAATCCCATTGGTTTAGACGGAACGCAAGTTTGGATGCGCTACCTGAGGAACCCCAAGGAAAATGGAAACAGTCGCCGGGCTCCTGAACGGTTTTCAGCAATTCCATGAATGACCATCCTGAAAAAATTGGTAGTCGTAGAAGCGGATGCAGAAGAGAAGAAGATAACAATGCAAACCACCAACCAATCTGTCGAACTCCTTAATCGCGGCGTAATACATGTATGGAAATATCCTATTTTACCTCATGACGCCGATTTTTACGTCTTTTGTAGTATTCGGCCTGGAATTTTGAGGCGTTTAACGATGGGGCTTACATGTAAATGCCACAATAGCTTCCTTGAACGTGAATGCCAAGTACACAGAGCAACAATTTAGTTGTCCACATATTCACTGGTTGCAAAATATATGCATCCTACTCTACAACCTGTCATGCCATCAGCAATTTCTGACTTTTTCTTAAGAGGCATTCGGTATTTAATTGCTAACGAATCTACTGTTCAACTCCCCTGTCGTTAGCAATGACAAAAGAGAACGGAAGTTTTGAAGGCCTGTGCATGACAAATAGTTTCTCTGACTAGTAACAGTTAAAGAAGTTTTCTCCAGTCTTAACCAATGTGTCCTTCTACTGCATGGAAAACACAAACCACGTTATATTCAGTACATGACCAGTAAAGTGGACGGCGTAAATCATTGTCTTCTAATCTGAGAATTTCAATTTCCGGTTTCAGGCAGTTGGTGAACAATTACTTGAAGCGATCCGGCCAGTTTTGGAAGAACAAGGATTGTGGGATGATGACACTGCAGTCGGTTGGGAAGCTGTTCTGGCCTACCTGAACTGCGCGATGCGTTACGGTCTGGTACGGTCTCTACGAACGTCGTAGCGAGAAATTTATCTATTCTATTTTCTACCGTTTCATCTGAAACAGATCTAACCCGTGTAACACCAATATGTTCATCTACAGTCCACAAGCACCTTCACGACTGTTTCTTTCATGTATGGCTCCCACAAATTCAACGAGCATTCTCCTATTATCTCCATTTTCCGCAGTTTTTGCCTTCCATGAATTATTCCGAATAAGACCAAATCACTTTTTTGATGTTGCATATTCTGGGGGAGATATTTTGACTGAGATGCTCTCTGAACGTTCGTGTTTGTCCAAGAAAATTGAATAATACTGCATATGTTTCGGTATAATTTTGCTTTTGGTCCCTTTGTCTCCGGCTGAGCGACGTTAGGAATCCAAGATCACTTAGGTAGTTCTCTCTGGATGATAGGAGACAAGCGTACACTCGCCAAGTTGATACTGAGTAAAAGAACTGCCAAGCAAAAAAATGAAAAAGGTAATTATGTGTAAACGGCTTGCTAGTTTTTGTCCTGGATGTCTGCTGGTCGGTCGGGTTACGAACATAAAAATAAACAGGAGCATTTTTGTGCACGCAATATGCAAGAGAAATTCCCTGTTTTATTTCAACGCTATTGTCAGGTTTACTTTGAAAGAGCGAGACACATGACTGAGTATAAGTCAACAAACTTGGAACAGGCGGAATAAAGGACGGTTAGGAGAGGACGTAGAAATACGGTTCTTGCAAGTAAAGATTATTTTCATTTAGACCGGGATAAACAAGAGAATTGCAAAACAACGTTAGAGGCAAAGCAAAGGACGCACAATGGGCACAAAGGTTCTTTCAAGGAAGAGTTTTCCAAGGCCTGAGAAGCCCCTCTAATCATGTGCGATCCAATCTTACCTGTGAGAAACGCTGGTGCATGCAAGGCAAATAAATGGACAAATGCCATGATATCCCTTGTATCGATTCAAAATGAACGCGAGGGGTGTTAAGTATCAAAAGCTGGCTCACCATGGAAGTCTTTATTGACTCCCTAATGCCTCTGAATGATTTCGGCTACTGGTCAACAAGAGAGAGATGTTTCGAATTATTGTATACTTCAGCGTGCATGTGCGACGTAGGGAAGTGATCACCTGGCAGACTCGGCAAACAGATCAACAACCATCTGATCGATTAATAATGAATGTACCCGAGCTACAAATGTTTCACCAAATCACCAGTGTTCACGGTACCCACCATTTGGGATACTTGATTGGCAGGCGAGGGATAGTGCATTAGATATCCATTTGGAGACTGTCTTTGCATTGTTTCACATTCAGCAGCTGAATCGGTCAGAGTCGGGGAATGATTGGAACAGTTCAGTGGACTCTGTGCAAGAGCATTCACGCAGAACACAGCAAACAATGGGCAATGCAGTTTCATCTAGATGCATTCGTGAGAGTAGTTTTGTGGATGCATTTGAGATCGGGAGGATGGTAGCTCAGCGAGAAATGCCTGAAATTTCGCTTGCGATAGAATTTACACAGTTAACTAGAGACAATAAACTACTAGTTCTCTTGTCGAAGTCGGTTGAGATGAATAGAGCAAACGAGTTCAGTGGGGGAGAAAATGGACGTTTTTTCCGCCGTGGTAAAGTGACTCTCCGTGACATTACCAGTTGAAACATTGAGTAAAACCCTGCGCAAGCGCTCGTTTAAGATACTTGTTAAAAATTTTGCAAATGTATGCATACAGTTTTTTACTAAATAATGAGCACCGCTGTAAGAAAACTGATCAAGAGTGTTTGTACAAAAGAAACGGCGAAACAGCAAATAATACCGAAGTGATAAGAAAAAGATGAATTCAGTTGTAGGTGCCGAGAGCTAGCAGAATTGGCAAGAGTTCCAACACCAAGCTCCACTACAGCGACTAAATATCAGAACTAGAGTTTGAAAATGCATTTGGAAAAGATCTGAAAAAGGCTGATTCCAGTCGATTGTTGATGGGAGGCAAGTTAGTCATCAGTTCAAAAAATTGTTGAGTCGTTTTTGGAAATAACATCATGCCGGAGAATAGGTCAAACAATTACACCAAAGCATACCGCGAATTCGGTTAATATATGTCCTAATGTAGGGACTCATTTACCGTTGAAGTCAACACCAAACTCGATCCGCAAATACGTGCTTAACGTAAAAATCACGTTTAATTACTCTTATAAAAAAACCTATTTCTAACTGGGCTTTATCTTATCAGAATGTACATAAGTACATTTATAAGTACATTTTATAAGTTGAGTCTTCTTGAGCCACCTGGAAGACTGCCATTTTTTTCGGCCACGCCCATGATATAATCGTCAACTGGTTTAGCCTGATATTTTTGGCAGTCTGTGGAGACGCGCAGTTTGGGAGGCAAGCGGCATTGTGGATTTGATTGGTCGATTGATGGACACGGCAGAAAACCTAGTGTGCCCTGAAACTCATGACTTGCAAATGCTTCGTGTGATTGAACAGTTTCCTTGGCCCCGCAGCGGAGATTCAAATAAAGCTTTTGGTCGGATATTTATTCAGATAATCATATAAAACAGCTAGCAACTGGTTGGAATGCGTGCATATCTGTAAAAGTTTTATAGAGTGTATGAAACAAATGCGTCTTCAATTGATCTATCTGAAACCGGTCAGATGCCATTGCGTGGTGGCAAACATGACGGACTGCTGGTGGCCTGTAGTCATCACATCCAAAGCTACATCAATTACACTCAACCAGACTCAGTATCTGCCGTTTGCAGTAGGGAAGTTACAAATGCAAATATAAGAAAATGGGTGGTTATGGACAATAGATAAGAAATAATAAAGCGAGCCTCAGAGCAAGAAAAGTCTGTTGCCGTTTAAGTTACCACGTCCGTTGTTACTATGGTAATCACTTTGTCCACAGAGCACGCTTGTTTACAGGTCTTTTGCACAAACAATTGTCTATGCGACTGCTGGTGAATGTTAGCAGACAACAAGTCCATATTATCCTTTGTTGACGCCACTTCGTGGAACTTCCGTTTTCAACGAGATTTTCACCGTCATTTTCTTTGATCTCCACAATCTCCTTAGTGGCCGCGGAAAGTTCACAGAGGAAGTGAATGGAGCAACAGAAAATGAGCATTTTGAATGGTATAGTTAGTTAGACGGTTTCTCATGGCTACTGCGGCGTATTTACCTACTCTACAATTGTTGGAATCCGATCGTCTATGCGTGTGATGAAAAATAATCCTTGAAATGTATACCATGCGCAATTAACACACACGGATGTATCCTCGTGCCGAGCGTCATACGTTGGTCGTACGACAAGGCATTTGTCGGGCAGAATAAGAGAACACAACCCCGTATCTCTGACTGGTAGTCGGAATAAACCAGGCTCAAGCGCGATTGCATCACATTTGGCCGAAACCTGTCATGTCATAGACAAGGAGTAAGCTTCTACAATCATATACCGGATACCTCTGAACCGATCACGACTGGTGCAATCCAAACTACTATCGATCGTAGAGGCGATTGGAATCTGACTGCTGGATCCGCAACTTTGCACCCAAAAGAAACTTGTGCAAACTCTGAACCTGAACTGGCCTACGAAACATCCGGTCCCACAGGTCTGTCTGACGTTGACGTCACCTACCCGATTCCGTGACCCATCGACCTATCCTTCATCCAACCCCCCTCCTTTGATTTCTATTTCTCTAAAGTGTATGTAGCCCCGATCTTAACCTTTTCCACGTGAGTTCTGTTACTATATAAATTTGTGATGTATTAGCCGAGATGAACAATTACAGAAAACATGCTTTGTTCGCTACCTTCTTCGTTCTCATGACTACACGGATGTGTCCGCTGCCCTACGTCAAAAAGAATCTGCACAGGAAGGTTATGTTCCTGTTGCACCGATACTGGTGACAACATTAGATACAAGTAATTCGGCAAAAGCAGTAACTCGTGAAAGGGTGCCAAAAAACTGTCCGTATCCGCCTATTGGTTATTAGTCAGATGGCTATCGATCTGTCCATCAAAGCCGGCAAGATATTCCTCACTAAAACTAACAGATTGACTGATAACCTCAGCGAATGAATCGCGACCACCCGATCAACATAAAATAGGATATCAGCTTCATATAAGGTTCCAGCTATCACCGAGCTTCCTGATGGCAGTCGCTCAACTCCCTGATGCGGCGTCCTAAGGAAACATTGGTGTGACTTGTAAGTGAAAAGCTTTATTCTCTGAAGCAGCCAAGTTTTGTTGCCTCTGAGCGCCCTTATTTCCATTCACCAGTTAAACTGAGAATTGGCAATAAACTCCGTTTCCTGAACCGATAATCTTCCACAGTTGCGCGTTTTTCGCAAGATGATGTTCTCTTCCGGACTGTGTCTACAAAATAAGAGGTAGAATTCCAGATACAAGACGTTATTTGTCGACTCTGGCACAAAACTTGAGGTGGAAAAATTGAGCTTATTTCCTCTATGTTATGAAGGCTTCGGTATCTACCACGAGAATGACCCATGATTACCACTTGGAATAGACGTGAGCACGCATTGAAAAAACTTTTTAGTAGTGTATAGCATGAGACTGATTTACTGTGGTTGACTAGAAGACTGAGTTTTGTTTGCAAGTACGCATTTGTTGTGCAGTTAATCTTTGTGAGTGCAAGATAAAAGTTGATTAAACCCTGTTTTCTAGTCGCGTGATTCTTTGTTAAGCAGAAGTAGTGGACGCTGGATCATTCTGTTCTTCTAGCCTCAGAGACTTTCATTTGCTGCTTTAGCAGTCCTCAAGACACATCGTTAGCAAGAAAGTCCATCCACGAACTGACAAGCTAGCCGACCCAATCTATTCATGAGTGGTCAACTATCACGGCGGTTCCACATTTAGCATTTTTACAACATCTTACGATTACTTGTTATCATTGTTCGGCCCCGTTTGTTGAGTCTCATCATTCTGAATACCTTCCCGAAACCATGTTTCTTCTGACTTACTAGACTCTTTGTTCTTCATTTGACCGGGGTCAATTTCTTCTCGTCAGACTT